AGTGTACACGTACAGACTAGATACTCCTTGAAGTTAGGCTGCTAAGCATGAACTGGGCTTCTGCACATTCAGAAGCCATCATCTGACCCAAGTACCAGTCAAGGTGCTCTGAGCCAGAGAACGTCTCTCTACCTTGTTCTGATCCCTACACTGGGCTTCAGAGCGTTTTCTCACAGTGAATTAAGGATTCTCTAGTACCTCTGGAGCCTGCAGAGTGGGGTAGTGTTAGAATGCCCTTTTCCTTTTAACTTTCATTTCAAGATAGGACATCAATTCCAGCATGTACACTTCTGTTTACATTATGCTATTTTTTGATTAGTGAGTTTTCAATAGCTTTCCATTTTCATGTTCTGACCACCCTGCCTGCCTTTCAATGCTTCTGCCTCATTTTCCACTACTGCCCAACGTGCACCTTGCCAGGCCAATCAAAATTCTGATTTTAAAGCTTACACTCTTTTCACCAAAATGCTTGGTCTTCCACAGTGTGGTTTAGCTTCCTGCAGTATACTGGCCTTGAGGGTATCTTTTTCTACTTCGAGTCACTGTGGGCTCAGGAAATGCAAACCACTTTTGCTATGGGACCAAGCCAAATGTTCACAAGGTATATCTGTTACAAAATGAGCTGCTCATACATCTGACTTTGCTAGAACTCAAGGTCCCTGAGGGGGCATCCAGCAGAGAGCTTGCCCAGGGCAGACTCTCAAGTATTTGCCAAATTAATTCTCCAAACTAAAAAGAATATTGAGATTAGACCCAATACTTCCCCCTCCATTAATCTAAGGGGTTACTCAGCTTCAAGACGTCCCTGTAAATACAGAAAAGATACTGCATATGGAAAACAACCACTTACATTCAAAGACCCATCTTAAACCAGGGTTCCACTGAGATAATGGGCTGTAAACAGATATGACCAGTGACAGCCGCTGGTCAGGAGGGGTGAGCCTCTGACTAAGGGCACCTAGAAAACCATCCCCTTACCAGAAGCTCTGGCAAAGGACCCTGAAAAGAAGTTTAAAAGTGGAGCACCAGAGAATCAAAGCATCAGGTAATCATTTGATTTTTTTTTTTTTTTACAAATACTAAGAAAAATAATGAGGACAAACAAAAATCAGTTTTTGAAAATCTAGGAGAGTAATAGACCCAGATGATACTAATACATACATAACAGAGACACATGAGGCCAGTCTTTTAATGTCTACAGCTGCTGTTTTGGGGAGTATGATCTGAAAATTACATTTTGATTAAAGTGAGCTATGTTACAATAGCTTCTATGAAATGGAACATGCTTTCAGGATTATCTTTTACACACACACGTGTGATTTTTCTTCTTGTTTTTCTTAATAAGAGTTCATTTTTCAAAGTTGGTAAAATTACTTGTCAGAGCCAATGTTTGAGGCTAAGGTTTAAACTTGCCTTTTTTTTTTTTTACAGTCCATTTCCTGGGGCCAAGTAATTTTTTAAAAAGTATTCAGAAACATATACTACTGTAGTTGCATGTTCAAACACCAGTGTGGAAATAGTCCTCTGGACTTATACATTCATTCTTAAAAGCCTGGAGTATGCAAACAAAGATATGGTGGGCAGCAGGCCAGTTAATAAATCTCATTTCTTACGAGCATCTGCATGAAACAGCTATAGGGAGTAGCCTCTCCAGGGAGAGTCAGAGCAGGACTCGCTCACTCTGTGAATTAAACAGTGTCACCTCAAATGGCCCACACCACATTCATATTTTAAGCGGCTCTTAACATACATGGATTCTAGTGCTCGTAAATGCAATGAGGAAGCTGGGGCAGAGGAGGCCATCACATGGTTGAGGATATGAGCTGTGGAAACACATCCACATGGCTTTGCTGAGCCATTTTGCACTTGCTCTTTTCAATTGAAATGACTAATGGAGAGGTTATTTTCTAAAGGAAACTTGCTATTCTAACCAAAGTGCGCACAGGTTTCAATAATGATTTACTACCCACTTTAGATCAGGCTGGAAAAACAGGCTCTGTGGATAGTAAGATATACCTGTGTTAAGATATCCAGGTCATGAACCATATTTGAGCCTTATTTATAAACAATCTGGTGCAAATGTTCTGGCAAAAATGTCTCGTGCTGGGAAGTGGCCACTTGCTCAGTGACAGTGCTGGGAAGCACGGTCTCGTTGTCAAGCTGTCTCCTCCTGAGCTGTGTTATCTGCCAGGTGAGGGGTGCTTATCCTGGAGCTCCTAAGAGTTTTTCTTTTAGTAATCACCACATTCTTCTTATATTTACATAGCTCTTTTCTTTTAAGAAAGTCTTTGTTTTAAACGTTTTGAAGTTAACCTCAGGAAAACTTGACAAGAATGCAGTGCGATATCTTATACATAATGAGCAAATTAGGTAATGAGCAAATGTAGGTAATGAGCAAATGTAGGTATCTCTAAAAAGATAAAGCGCCTCCTGGGAGGCCTATCTAGAACTCAGGAGAGGAATGAGAAGGAGAACTCCCTGTGACATCCCAGGGCTCTGGGCCTATCCAGGCCTTCCAGGGACTCAGAATTCTCAGGCGCTTCTCATTGGCGGGGGCTATACTGAACCTACAGCCAACATAAAACTTACTTGGTTATACCTTTACTCTGGCTTTCAAATTGTCTTCCAAGTTTTCTCAGCAACTGGCAATATTAACTTATTATTAAATTAATATTAAATAAATGGCAATATTAGTCCAGCCTCAGGACGTCAAAATAATTACAGAACAGTTCCTGGATTTTTTTTTTTTTAATCACGTTTTTCCTTCCCCTACACCCCTAGAGAAAAATAAGTAGTAGTTATGAGACCCTAGTCACCCCTTTGAAAGAAAAGCAGACTGAGGGTAACATCAAGCATGTCTGTCCCTGTGCGCACCTTTTGTATAATATGGTGCATATAGAATTTTGGAGGCTTTCTTCTTCATTTAACCTATGACTTCTCTCACGATAGTGTCCAATAACCTTATATAAAATACGAATACAATGATGCTCAGAGTGACTTAAGAAATCATTAAGTCAGACCTTCATTCCAATTCAGTTTTGTTTTTTTATATAATTTCAGGTACTATTATAGAGACTCAGCAAACTGGAAATAATTCAGGAAATGGAAATAATTTGAACTGAATTAAAAAGGTAAATGAAATTTGATTTTAAAGCAATAATTTATCGTCAAAATTAGCATTTAAGCTTTCCACCCAGTGGTTTTCCATTGCCATTTCAAGTTAGCTCAAATGACTAATAAAACCCAACTAGGCCACATCCTTTGGCCCACGTGGTAAAATTCGAGCTCCATCTTAAAAGCAACAGCTACCTATGTGGCAGAGATTAAATCATGTAAGAAATGAGGGCTTCAAATGTATTACCTATACGAACAGCTTAAATAAGTGAGATTTACAAGCAACTCAGGGTTTTTGCTTTTGTTTTTAATTCTATTTGAGGACTTAGAATGCTCACAGAGAAAGGTGGAGGAGTAAGAGAGAGAGAGGAACCCAACTTCGCGATCATAAGCCTGGGTCTCCAAAAGAAGCATTTCAGAAGTTGTAAACCAATCTGGGTTTACAGTAAAAGAATGACAAACACTTGGAATCTGTAAGGATACCATGTCAATACAGTAGCTGGAATCATAAGGCATAAGATTTTGGTGACTTCATGGGCACAGCCAAAAATGACTCCAAGTATTTATGTAATACCGGAGACAACAGGGCAAAGGTTGCTTGTCATTTGTTTTTGAGTTAGCAAATAGTGTTTCATTGGTCAAAGGCAGCGGAAATGGGGAACCCTGAGTTCTACTTTATAAACATTTATACACATAGAATATTCTACCCATAATACTATCTGAATGTTTAGATGAAGGCATTACCAAAAAAAAGTTATTTCCTGTTGCTCACTAGCTGAGAGGATGCACTCTAGAGGTATGCGCGTTCTGCTTCAAAGCAAAGGCATTGTTAGCGGTTATCAAGGTAACATTTAAAAATAACTACCCCAGTACAAAAGAACTTCAGAGGAAATATGAGTGAAGATCAGTCTCCCTTCAAGTCTGGCCTTGAGCTTCATTAGACTCTAGCTGCATTCTCCATTACATTGTTATCCTTATCAAACAATGCAAACAATTTTAATGAGCTTATCTTCTAGAACATATTGCCAGATATGCTAATGTAAAAATGATGCCAACCGCACAGGCCAACTCATTAATCATAAGGCTCACAACACAATGACCAAGATCAGCCCCATCCTCAAATCAGACCTCAGCAAAATACCAGGAATTACCTTCCTACTGTAAATAAAAAGGGCGGGCTCCCCCACCCATGCGGAGGCCATAAACTCCTAAGAAAATGCATAACAGCGCCCCGGGTTTTTTTTTTCCAGGTCCGTTGCAGTCCAGTCTCTTTCTAATAAACCTTGGGTTCTATGAAGGAAATTTTGGTGAATGCCTGACACCATGACCTCTCCTGTCAATCCTTGCACCAATCAGCGAGCAGAATTCTTACAAAGCTCCATCAATCTGGCGATTTAACATCACAGACTGCAGCTTAATCTAGAGGATTCCATCTTTCCTGCACACACACCAGGGCAAGCACAAACGCTTTCCTCGCCATCCTCCTGGTCCTTTGCCTTTGGGCACAGACTACCTAATGGTTCCTTTAAAAATCTCCAAGGGAAGGAGGGAAGGAAGTGTTACAGCTTGTCTCCCTTTGGAGAGGGGGGAAAATTGCTTGCTTTTTTTTTTTTTTTCAATCAATGTGGAAGGAAAGAGATGGAGGGAGACCCCTTGCAGGCAGCAAACCTAGTCACAAAATGCTTTCCATCTGCAATCGTGAAGCCTCCATATATACCCAACATGACACATGGAAACGGATAGCAAAGAATCACAACTGCCTTTACAAACGCATGTCTGCAGCCCGGTCTGGGCCAGTGTCTGCTTCATTATATAACGGGCCGGATTTCCGCGCGCCCCCGCTGAGGTACCCCGCCCGGCACCGCTCCCCGCGCCAGACCCATTACCTGTAGGAACGCTCCCCGCGCACCGTGTGCTTCCGGAAAGGAATGATGGTCCCGTTATCCTGGATGATGTCGTTGTTGTTCTCGCCATTTGGGGACAGGGTTTGGGTCGGACCAGGCATTGGCGCACTCCCGAGGAAGGGAACAAACCGCTGTGGGTTGGCTGGTGAGGAAGGTGGCTGCGTCTCGCCTTCCCGCTCGCCTGCTCCTCACGCAGACCTTGCCTGCCGCCTGCTCGAGAGCTCCCTTCTCCCAGCTCAGGCTCCCGCCCCGCCCTCCTGCGTCCCGCCCTCCTGGCTGCTGACGTCAAAGCGCCGGCAGCAGCACCCTGGTCACGTGGCCCGGCCCGTCACCATAGCAACTCGCTAACTCATCACCTCGCCTCAATTCGCACAGGGCCGTGGCGTGACCACGCCAGCAGCTCCAGGCAGGCACCCGGGCAGGCCTACATCTGGCATGTAAAATCGCGGGCCACCCCCAGCCCCCCTCTCAGACTCGCCTGGTCTGAAAACCAGCTCTTCCTCTAACCATTTCCTTTCCGACCCAAGCTCCAACTGCAGCTGTGTACACAAAAGAGCGATTCAGGCTGAGGGGTGTGGGAGACCCTTTAACTCCTTCAACACCAAGTTTTTGTGCCATTGCAATTACACTCGGTCCGGTTTCGGGAAAATATAAGACCTGGTGTCCTGCTTCCAGAAAATTTATCAGACTAAGGGTTTAGAACTTCCAGTTCCTCCCCTATTCTCTGAACAGAAGCAGCCTCCTCCTCCTCAAAATAAGCTTCAAATCTGAAAACCTAAGAGGGAGCTGTAATTCCTTCTAATCAATGTTGCCTTTACTTTAATAATGCGAAGGTTAAAATCGCAAATTAAGAGATTTTTATGCACAAAAGCATCCCCAAAGAGGGTTTGTAAAAAGGTAACCACCATTTTAGAACCTCATAGTTACCCAAGACCCCCTAATTCAAATTCTTATACTGCCTTCTAATACAGATAATTAACTCCTTATCATTTATTTCATTTCCATTTGAATTAAGTGAACACCCAATTTAGTATTTGGAAGCTCTCAACATTCAAGCTGTTGTATATCACTGTAATGCAGTTTTCAAATACACTATTTATGACACAGGTACTATTATTATTATCCCTATTTTAAAGATGAGTAAACTAGTGAGATTAAGTAACATGCTCAAGGTCAGACAGCTAGAAAGTAGTGAACTGAAACTTCAAAATGACATGCTTTTATCAATTGACAATAGTGATCTGTATTTAATGTGAGCTCATTAATATTGTCTATCAAGGTAAGAATCAAGTATTTAATGTACACTCTCAATGTGACCACTGTGAAGAGATAGCTGTGAATAGATTTGCTATTACTGTGCAGTCTATGGATTAGATTATAAACTCTGAACAGACCCCAGATGTGTCCAGTGCTTTCCTCCAGGGAGAAGAGAGTTTGAAGGATTCTCTGGTTATCAAAGTGGCCTCTGACCTTTTGTGGGGTGAGCAGGGAAGAATAACTGGGGTGTAAAAGACAGCATAAATATATGCAGCAGAAAGTTCTAGGCTATATGGCTCACCTGTTCACATCATTGTGTGGTTCATCAGCTTTCTCATTTTGTGGTACAGATATTAAAAACAAGTAAAAACTTTGTCGTTCCTGACACTTGTCCAGCATATCTCCCTAGTAATAAGTTATTTCTGGCATCTAGTTATTAGGATTAGAAACAAATGGTTTACAACCCAGACAATAATGATGTTCTCAAACAAGGGAGCATTCTCCCTCTTATTTTATATTCTTCTTTTGGGTTACATTTTATCATTTTATTTTATGGTTCTCCAGTGAATTCACAATTATATAAGCTGATTTATTAGCTTACACGAATTATTTCTTATGTAATAAAGATCCAAATCTGATCGAAGACTTTTACAAGGTACATAGCTATAACTAAGTAAAAGAGATACACACAAGCCTTACATTGCACGATGAGCTATATAAGGGGCATGAGAGTGTAGTCATTGCTACAAAGATCCACTTCCTCTTACTATTTCTGTTATTGGACCCACGGTTGTCAATTTCCTTAGTAATTTGTTCTCTTTCACTAAAGCTTCCCCTTTTGCGGGGACAGTCTGAAGCTGAAAGGCACAGTCTACAAATCAAGTGTTTAATGTTTTCAGAGTACGCCCTCTCATTTTGTGTTCTTTACTATAGATTACTTTTTCATAATCCCATATTTAAGTAATAAGTTAGACATCACTGATGTTATCATAGGGACTAAATTAGTCAGAATTTGGATGCATGGTTCATTGATTATACTAACTAATTTTGTCGAGCAAAGAGTCCTGTCATTTCTAGGCTACTTGTGAAAGAGACGACTACTATGGCCAAGAACTTGGGTTGATGAACTAAAAGGGGAAGTGAGTCAGGTGAAGAAGGTATCTAAGAGCTTTTGTAAATCTTCCTCTAGAACTGCTCTGAGCCACATTACTATACAGGGACCCAGAGAGCTCCAGGGACCTGTGATTACCCTCCAAGATGCAGGGATAACAGGAGTAATAATCTGAAAATATTAAACAGATGTGTTTTCATTCCTTTTCTCAAAAATCAGGTGATCTGGCAGCCATTCCCTAGTGTAGCCTGAGGGAGACGGGGAGGGCAGATTCCACTTCGGAAAGGAAGATACTAGGATACAGGGAAAGTGCAGAACAAGGCAGGAAGAAGGGGGAAAGAGTCTACCCTTCCCAAGCCCAGCTGAGTGTAGAAAGGAGGAGATGAAAGTAGGTAAAAACACGATCGCCCAAAGGGAGATTCTGCAGTAGTGGCTTTGTTCTCAACCCAAGAGATTTTCTTTCGTCTCCTTTCCCATTTGAGGCTCTGGGAAAAGACCTCCTGAAAGAACATCTCCTTAACGCCTCTTTCCCCAAACAGGTACAGCTCCTTAACAGTCAAGACTAAAATCAGTGGCTTGGTATGGTCAGGCAGAGGAGGACGGGAGAGGGAAGGCTGTCGAAAAGACTAAATAGTCACCCAAGAGGTGGAGCTATTCAAAGACAGCCCAAGCTGGAAGAGGCACTAAAACTGTGAACTGGTGAGTTTAAAACCATTTCTACTAACCCACCCCTCAGCAGGGTGAGCAGAATTGCTCAGATCGGTATAGAAAAAAATAACTAAGCTAACATGTCTGGGTACAGCAACTGTGGATTCAAGTTTTGCCTTATGTGCACAGGTATACCTATAGTAAAGTATAGGCAGACCATGTCCTATATATCCAACTGCCCCATGGAGAAATGGCTCCTCTCATCAAGCATCATGATTAAAGTTGGGGCTCTGGAGGCTGACCTGGGTCCCTGACTTGGTTTCATTCCTTGCTTGACCTTAGCAAGTTATTCTGCATCTCTAAGATTTGGATTCCTCATCTATGAAGTCAGTGTAATAATACTGGTTTCATAATGTTGCTGTGAAGATTAAATTCCATAATATATTTAAACAGTTAACACAGTGTCTGGCATATAGCAAATGCTCTTCAGTGGTATGTGTTATTTTTAAACAACACGTTAGGTATATTCTAAAATGTTCATTTATTTACTTGACACTTATAACTGGATTTCTCATGTACTGGAAGCTGGCAAGTGAGAAGAAGAGTCCCAGGCTCTGTCCTTGAGGAGTTCATTGTTGGTCAAGACAAAAATATTGGCAATTATGGTACAACATAATGCTATAATAATTGTACCACATAGAGTGATATGGGACTATAGAAGATGAGCACCTAATTCAGAATGGAAATTAGCAAGTGGGTGTGGCAAAGTTACCCTAAGGAGCTATTACCTAAGCCTCAGATGAATAATAATTATAACCTTTTTGTTCACTTCCTAGGTGACAGACAGAATGTAAGATTCCTTAGGATAGGGACTTCATCTGTTTTGTTTGCTGCTATATATGCAGTTCCTAGAACAGGGCCTGACAGGTCGAAGGCACTAAATGAGTATGTAATTTATTCATTTATTCAACAAATACTTGATTTGATTCTTGAAATAACCCTAATGATAAAATTGAGGCTCTAAGAGGAAGAGCAATTTGTTCAGCATTGGATCACGTTTTCTCAGCCCCTAAGTTTACATGCTTAGCCACTAAATAGCACTGTCACATACAAGAGGAATGGCAATATAAAGGGAAAATAAAGGACTCCCCAAGCATATAGACTTAGGTACAGAGGTAGGAGAGGGTGCGAGGTCTCTGGAGTCAGCAAGTTGTTCAGTATGGACTCAAATGGAATACACAGTGGCAGGAGACAGGGCAAGGCCTAGGTGCAGAAAGCTGCTATGGCCAAGCTAAGGAGCTGACCTTAATTCCGAAGGTGTTTTGGAACCATGAAGTGCTTTTGGGAGGAAGATTAATGGTGAAATTGGCATCAAGAAGGTCTGATGCTGGGAGGTGTGGAGGATATATTGGTGAAGATTAAAATGAGTCAGAGTGAGGAAGGTCTAAGCTAAGAAAGAGGCCAAGGGTTTAAAAAGAAAGCATAGGTCTGAGATTTACAGAGGGTAACACTTTTGGGGTTTTCTGACTAACTGGATGCGGGCAGGGACGTTGAATGGGGTTTAAGGGTGCGCAGTGAAGCAGGAGGCGGCATTTCAAATGAATCCTCGGTTTATGGCGTGGGTGACCAGGTGGATAATGGTATCACTTACCGAGCTAGGAAATACAGATTGAATTGCCCTTCTGGAAGAAAGGTTCTCGAAATGTGTTTTGGACATAGAGAAGTACCTACCGGACATCCTCCCAGTGACAATGCATGGTCCTGGGGATTCACACATGACAGTGGTGATTATCTGTTGAATACGGGAATATGTGGGTCTTTGAACTTCTGAGGACTTGGAGATTTGGAGGAAATTATCTCACAGGTGATAATTGAAGCTATGGATGTTGACACCTCACTAGAGGAGAAAGAGAAGCCCTGGGGTGGGATATCTTAAAAAACTGAGTGATTTAAAAAAAAAAAAAAAAAGAGGCTGCAAAAAGAGAGACTATGAAGGATTTTGCTGGTGAGGCAAAGCACAACCAGGAGTGGTTTCCCGGGGTCCAGGGGGAAAGCAGAGAGGAGGGAGAAGTCTCTGGGGCCAAAAGTCACAGAAAGGTTGAGTCAGATAAGGCAGAGAGGTGTTCACTATATTTGATAAGATGCTCTCAAAGGTATTTTTAAGAGATTGGATTTCAGATCTGGAGATAATGAAATCTTCAGCAAGTAGGGAAAGCTGCAATTCTTTGTAAAATTAC